CTCGATCCCAGGACCCTGGGATCATGACCCGAGCCGAAGGCAGAAGCTCAACCATCTGAGCCACCCAGGCGCCCTATGATATATTTTTTAAAAGAAAAAAACAAACAAAAAACACCTGGCTGGCTCAGTTGGAAGAGTGTGCTATTCTTTATCTCCGGGTCAGTGGGTTTGAGCCCCATGTTGGGTGTAAAGATTACTAAAAATAACAACACAACAACAAAAAAATGCCATAAAACAAAAAACAAAACCCACTCATGTTTCTGTGTTCATGTGCACCATCCATTTGATCTCATTTATTTATTTATTTTTAAGTAAGCTCTTTGCCCAATGTGGGGCTCGAACTCACAACCCTGGAGATCAAGAGTCACTTGCTCTCCTGACTGAGCCAGCTGGGCACTCCTTCTATGACATATAGATAGTTTCTTTCTGATATATTCTTAAGTAGAAAAAGCAGGTTGCAGAACAAAATGCATAATGAAATTCCATATTTGGATAGGAAAAATGTGTTATAATTCTGTTGTGTGTCATGTGTACACATAGAAATGTCTGGAAACATAATTTCAAAGTTAACAGTGATGTTAAAAAAGTTAACTTTAGGGGCGTCTGGGTGGCTCACTGGGTTAAACATCTGCCTTTGGCTCAGGTCATCCTGGGATCTGAGCTCCGTGTTGGCTTCCTTGCTTAGCAGGGAGCCTGCTTCTCCCTCTCCTCCCCACTTGTGTTCTCTCTAGATATCTCTGTGTCTTTCTCTCTCTCAAATAACTAAATAAATAAAATCTTTAAAGAAAAAAAGTTAACTTTATGTAATAGTCTTGTTTTAATATTGTACAAGTAGTTTTCTTTTTTTTTAAAGGGAATGACAAAGTCACACTGAGATCTTAGGAAGAGTCCCAAGACCTAATCTTTCCCTTAGTTCAACTACCTCAACTTCACCTTTATGTTCTTCATATCAGAAATGTTTTGATAGAGAATATTCAAGAAAGAAACCATCTCAACCTTGGCTGATACATTTAGGAAAATAAGAAGTCCTTTTTAAAAACATAATTATCAGGGTGCCTGCCTGACTTCATCGGAAGAGCATGTAACTCTTGATCTCGGGGTTGTGAGTTTTGGCTTCACGTTGGGTATAGAGATTGCTTAAATAAATAAATAAATAAACAAGCAAAAAAAAGTAATTATCAATTTTTAAGATTCTTCCAAATAGATATACACCTCTAAATTCTGACTTGCAAAGAGGTTGAAGATATAATGCTAAGTGGAAAAAATACACAAACTTTTAGAAGAGGATGTATAAAAATTCACATAAAACCACCCATATTATATATACTGAAATATCTGTAGAAATTAAACTGTGCTTACTAGATTCACTTTATGATTCATTTCTCTATTGCTTAAATTTGTTCTCAATAGCAAGTTTTAATTTTGCAATCAAAAAAGCCCAGGCATCTTCTTTCTGCCTGTGGGTTCTGTCCCTGTGCTTTCATAAAAACACCTTTTTTAATGGGGGGGGGGAATAGAGGTCCAACCGTGTATTAATTTATTATATCTTTTAAAGATTTTAGGGGCGCCTGGGTGGCTCAGTCGTTAGGCCTCTGCTTTTGGCTCAGGTCATGATCCCAGGGTCCTGGGATCTAGCCCCGCATGGGGCTCCCTGCTCGGCGGGAAGCCTGCTTCTCTCTCTCCCATTTACCCTGCTTGTGTTCTCTCTCTGGCTGTCTCTCCCTGTCAAATAAATAAATAAAATCTTTAAAAAAAAAAAAAATAAAGATTTTATTTATTTATTTGAGAGACAGCACAAGTAAGGGGAGGGGAGGAGCAAAGGGAGAGGAAGAAGCAGGCTCCCTGAGCTCAATCCCAGGACCCTGAGATCGTGACCTGAGCCCGAAGGCAGATGCTTAACCACCTGAACCACCCAGGCGCCCCTATCTATTTATTTTTAATATTTTATTCATTTATGAGAGAGAGTGTGCACAGGAGCGGGGGAGGGACGGTGGTTGTGGAGCTGCCGGCCGAGAGAGAAGCAGGCTCTCCGCTGGGCAGGGACCTGATAGGGGGCTTGATTTCAGGACCCTGAGATCATGACCAGAGCGGAAGACAGACGTTTAACCCAGAGCCACCCGGTTACCCCAAGAGGTCCCATCTTTTGAAAAGATAAATCCAGACTCTCTCTGGTTCCCTGATGATCGTGGGTTTCACTGTCCTCTGCCTTTAGGGTTTTGTCTTTACCCTAACATTCACCTGTCGGGAAGAAGAGTAGGTGAATGGCATTTCCAGAATGGCTTATCTCCAAAAGACAAGGTGGAACACCAGAAATCTTTCTTCTTCCCTTTCAATCTTTATTTTTCCCTTCTTTTCCTTTCCAGTATCGAGCATGTTGTAAATAGGTGTTGGGGCGCCTGGGTGGCTTAGTTGGTTAAGCATCTACCTTTGGCTCAGGTCATGATCTTGGGCTCCCTGCTCCATGGGGAGTCTGCTTCTCCCTCTACCTCCACCCCTCCCACAGCTTGTGCGCTCTCTCTCACTCACTCTCTCTCTCAAATAAATTCTTTTTTTTAAGATTTTTTTTTTTAATTTATTCATTTGAGACAGAGAGATACAGAGAGAGAGAGAGAGAGCATGAGGAGGGGGAGAGGCAGAGGAAGAGGGAGAAGCAGGCTCCCCGCTGAGCCAGGAGCCCGATGCGGGGCTTGATCCCAGGACCCTGGGATCATGACCTGAGCTGAAGGCAGATGCTTAACCATCTGGGCCACCCAGGCGCCCCTCAAATAAATAAATTCTTAAAAAAAATACAATAGATGTTCTTTTTGCCACTCTAAATCTTTAATTCTTAGCCATTTCCTTGCATATTCCCAACGTCTTATAGTTGAACTTAATCCAAAGCAGAAACAAGCAGTAATCAAGTGTGTAAAAACATCGGTTACACAGGAAGGTTCAGTGCTGGAGAGCTAACTTTGAAGTTTCCCTAAGACTATCACTTTATAATAGCTATTTTCCCATTTCTAGGCTCTGGGACACCATTTAGTATTTCCTCAGATGTGTTGGTGATTCATTATGTGCAAAGAATTTTGTAAAAATGTGACATATTACTTTTTCTTTTTAAATTTTTTTAAAGTAAGCATTATGCCCAGTGTGGGGTCTTAACTCATGACTCTTGAGATCAAGGGTCAGGGCTCCACCGACTGAGCTAAGCCAGGCGCCCCAGTGACATACAATTGAAAAAACAAAACAAAGCAGGGGTGCCTGGGTGGCTCAGCCATTAAGCATCTGCCTTCGGCTCAGGTCATGATCCCAGGGTCCTGGGATCAAGCCCCGCATCAAGCTCCCTGCTTGGCAGGAAGCCTGCTTCTTCCTCTCCCACTCCCCCCTGCTTGTGTTCCCTCTCCTGCTGTGTCTCTCTGTCAAATAAATAAATAAAATCTTTATAAATAAATAAATAAATAAATAAATAAATAAATAAAACCCTCTAATCTCTTAAAGGAATTTTTCCTTCACTCGATACATTTAAAACATAATGAAAAAGCCAGGTGGCAGAACAGTGAGATGCTACGTTTGTTTTTTTTTTAAGATTTTATTTATTTATTTGACAGAGAGAGAATGAGAGAGAGAGCAGGAGAGTGGGGAGAGTCAGAGGGAGAAGCAGGCTCCCTGCCGAGCAGGGAGCCCGATGTGGGACTCGATCCAGGGACTCCAGGATCATGACCTGAGGCGAAGGCAGTCGCTTAACCAACTGAGCCACCCAGGCGCCCCTAGATGCTACGTTTTTAAAATGTCACACTCAAATCTGGTTGAATTATAAAACTAAAATGTGGGGATTTAGAAGTGATTTCATGTACTATTTTAATTGTTGGATCAATGCTTTCTGTTTTTATTATCTATCTGTTCATAATATAGTGCTTGGCACAAAACTCAAATACCTGACAGTTGAAAAGGATTTTGTGTTGTCCTTAGGTCTTGGCAGAAATTATCCCCAATTTCTTCTGTCAAATGTCTAGATAATTTGATTGGGTGAGGTTTCACAACATTGGAAAATTGGGGGAACCATGAGGGAAAGGGCCAGAAAAACTGCCTGGTTGGTTACCCTCTGCTGCTTCGGAAAGTGGACGTTCCTGTGGAGCAGGAAGGCAGAGTGACTGAAAGTGCGCTCAACCAGATCAATTTGGGGGCGAGCCAGGATGGGAAGATAGTAAAAAAAAGTATTCGTATCTTTCACAGATGCCTGCCTCGCCAGCTTCTTCTAAGGTGAGAACATAACGTACCTGGACAAAAAAGCCTATTTCAAACTTGCGTCAGAACTTAAAGGTCTTAAATAAAAAATGTCGGGCGCCTGGGTGGCTCAGTCGTTAAGCGTCTGCCTTCGGCTCAGGTTGTGATCCCAGGGTCCTGGGATCGAGCCCTGCATCGGGCTCCCTGCTCAGCGGGAAGCCTGCTTCTCCCTCTTCCACTCCCCCTGCTTTGTTCCCTCTCGCTGTCTGTCAAATAGTCTTCAAAATAATAATAATAAATGTCTTAAAATAATCTTATTTCTTTTTTTTTCTCTTTTTCTTTCAAAGATTTTATTTATTTATTCATGAGAGACAGAGAGAGGCAGAGGGAGAAGCAGGCTCCCAAGGAGCAGGGAGCCCGATGTGGGACTCGATCCCAGGACCCCGGGATCACGACCTGAGCCGAAGGCAGACGCTTAACCATCTGGGCCACCCAGGTGCCCAAAATAATCTTATTTCAACATAGTTCTTTCAGGCAGAGTATAATTGTACGGATGGGTGGACACATAACCTTCCCTGTGAGTTACATTAGCAGACCTTCCACTCCCCCCCTCCTTCTTTAGCGCCCTCTACCTTCGGTTATTTGCCTCATCTCTGGCTGCCCTACATTTAAGACTTACAAACCTAAGTGGTCTGTTTATCACTTCCTTGCCCCAACTTTTAACTACAAATAACCACAAATTTTGTTGTTTCAATACTATTACACACATAAGGGAAATAAATTAGTTCAGATTTAATTGATCAGTCACCTAGCAACTAAGTATACTTACTTACCTTTCCTTTCCTCATTTCTAAGATAGCAGCCTCCCCAACAGCTAGAGAAATTTCAGTTAATTGTCCCTCCCACACATTAAAAGGGTATAAAGACCCATGTTGGGTGCCTGGGTGGCTCAGTCAGTTAAGCGTCTTCATGATCCCAGGTCCTGGGATCGAGCCCCGCTTCAGGCTCCCTGCTCAGCGGGGAGTCTGCTTCTCCCTCTCCCCGCTTGTGCGCTTTTACTAGCTCTATCACTCTCAAGTAAATAAAATCTTTGAAAGACTTTTTTAAAAAATCTGTCAGATAATTTTAACATTTCTTTTATCTTGATATTGGCATGTATTTTTCTTTTTTAAAAAATTTTGAGAACTTGTAATTCATAGTTTGATGATGGGTGATTTTCCATTGAAACCTAGGTATTTTTGTGTAATAGCTAAGAGTCTAGATCTTCTTTAAGCCCTGTTTTAGGTGGCTTTTTCTTTTAAGATTTTTTATTTATTAGAGAGAGCATGAGAGGGAGGAGGGTCAGAGGGAGAAGCAGACTCCCCGCTGAGCAGGGAGCCTGATGCGGGATTCGATCCTGGGACTCCAGGATCATAACCTGAGCCGAGGTAGCCGCCCAACCAACTGAGCCACCCAGGCGCCCTTTAGCTGCCTTTTTCTGACACCACTCTGGCAAGGGAGAGGGGACCCTGCCCTGTTACTGTTACTGCCTGATATGGGTAAATTTGAGGGCTCCTTGCTCAGCAGGGAAACTGCTTCTCCTTCTACCTCTGCCTGACCCTCTCTCTGCTTGTACTCTCTGTCTCTTCAAGTAAATAAAATCTTTAAAAACAAAATAACCCACGTTTAATCCAGTTTTTACTCACTGAACTCCTGGTGAAATCAGGGTAGAGACAACAAAGGGTAAAGTGTGTATTTTATTTATTTGTACTTAAACCTATAAA